GTTAGCTTGAAGCCCAAATCTCAACGAAGTGTTGTAGCGTGATATCCGAGGCATGTCTTCAGGATGTTTGTTGGTTTCATAGCATAAATGCTCAATCCCGTCTTGAAACATATTTTGACAAATTTATCATCATTTCGACTCGGTGGAAGGATAAGAAGGAGAATCATAGCATACCTGATGAGACCAAAAAGCGATCTTGGTGTTGTATCACAGCTTTCCAGGTTGTTAATAACGAAGGAAAGGTGATGTCTGGATTGGAATTCAAGTTGAAGCTTCTGCGAAGTTTTGTTGACGTTGGAAAGTGGAGCCACTTGGCCTCCAACACTTGAGCCAATGGGAAGCTCGGCTGGATGGCCCAAGCTCCTGAGGCACAGCCTCGGCGTCAGCCGCGTAATCCGTCACACAGCTCGAAGGCATCATCACCATCCACCGATCATGACCTAACAACAAACCTCGATCAACTGCGAACCGATCATGGCGTTGTCAAAGACATTAACGCTTATATGCAGGATTGCAGCAATCCTCCCCGTCTCTCTGGCCGCGCCAGCGAGCCAGCAGACGCTGGAAGACAATGACGACACACCCTTGCCACTCGTCATATGGCACGGTACGTCTTTCAAAACCACAGTCACCCCATCCTGCCTTACCTCTTGCCACACACTAACATCTCTCCCGCGCAGGTCTAGGCGACAACTTCGCCAACCCGGGGCTCCGCGACGTGGCCGCGCTGGCCGAGGCCGTCAACCCGGGCACCCTCGTGTACACGATCAAGCTCGCCGACGACGCCAACGGCGACCGCTCCGCCACCTTCCTCGGCAACGTGACCGAACAGGTGGCCAAGGTGTGCGCCGACCTGGCCGCGCACCCGATCCTGTCCACGGCGCCGGCCATCGACGCCCTCGGGTTCAGCCAGGGCGGGCAGTTCCTGCGGGCGTACGTGCAGCGGTGCAACAACCCGCCCGTGCGCAGCCTGGTCACGTTTGGCGCGCAGCATAACGGCATCGTCGATTTTAGGAGTTGCGGTGCCACGGACTGGGTGTGCAAGGGCGCCATGGCGCTGCTGAGGGGGAATACCTGGAGCAGTTTTGTCCAGGGGAGGCTGGTGCCTGCGCAGTACTACCGGAGCCCGAACGTGGACGAGTATCAGAAATATCTGGAGCACTCGAATTTTCTGGCGGACATCAACAACGAGAGAGTGTTGAAGAATCAGACTTATGTGGAGAATCTGGCGAAGTTGGAGAACTTTGTCATGTACATGTTTGAGGACGACACGACGGTCATTCCGAAGGAGAGCGCGTGGTTCGAGGAGGTCAATGGGACAGAGATCACGCCGTTGAGAGCACGGAAGATGTACCGGGAAGACTGGATTGGGTTGAGGGAGCTGGATCGCAAGGGCGGGTTGAAGTTTAGGACTACGCCTGGGGAGCATATGCAGATCGACGAGAAGGTGCTTAAGGAAGTGTTCCAAGAGTACTATGGCACTTGGAAGAAGGGGAGTGCTGAACGGTACGCTCGGTTGGACGGAGATGACCTCTGAGGGTCGCTGAAGTCTACTTGCTTTTGGTTTAATGGGAGGCTGCAGAACGAATTGTCAAGGCGTGTGTTTCGTTGTGGCTGGGTTTCAATGTTTCACGAGTCGTGCTTCTTCGATAATTTGCAAAGACACTTTTGCATGGGCATTCATTCCATAATGTCTCCACGACGTCAAGTACAAGTACGGTCATGGTGGACGGTTGCCCAAAACCACAGGAGATGACGCCCAAACGGCACTGGCGATTGACGGTTGGCGACCATGAACAGACAAAATACCTACCGACTTGAGAGCCATCGCAGCCTTGCTTTTCACCTTCTCGAGTCAAGTGCATCGATCCAAAAATCTTGATTAAAGATGCGCCTTGCAGGATCATGTCTTGGGCGGCTAAATTTCGCTATCTTCTTGTCATTTGACTGGCGTTTGTAGCGAAGATGCAGCGCGCTACAGACATTTCGGACCGCAGGTGGGGTTGATCTCAAGACGCGACTTCCCTGAGACGGAGGCTGGGCGACATTAAGTTCCTCTGAAGACGTGCATTACGCATGCACTTGAGCATTGCAGGACAATCGGGACAATGGATGAAAACATGGGAGGCAAAATAACAGTCCAAGGAGGTGAATTGCAGTTGAGATTGTAAAAGCTGTCTGGAAGCCGAAGCTGATGAAGCTGCCACGAACCGCGCCAGTACGTCATAAAGTCTGCACTATTTCCGGCACTATTCTTCGCGATTAGGGCGGTGAAGCGAGTAGGGAGGGGCCAGCACTCTCCCAGCGGCCGCTGAGTGGCTGGTCTCAGAAGCACAGGCCTGGACGCCAGCTAAAACGCCAACGCGATGCGAAGCAACCATGTAAACCGCGTCGTCTCTCACTTGCACTGCGGGCCCAATGGCCTTTTCGACACGGCCACGACCACACGCTCCTTGTCTCTCTTTAAATACCAAAATTCCCCCACGCCCCAGCTTCCCGTCGGGCCTGTCTTTTCGAGGCCTGCAATTGTAGAATTCGAGCTGTTGTGCCATCTTCTTATCTTGTTACTATTCACTTGATCGCAGTGCTCTTTCTGTTCTGTATACGTGCTTTTCCGACTCTCGCTCAACTTGATATCGGCCGAAGGGGACACCACCTGACGCGCCTTGGACTCTGACGCGAGAAATTACTCTCCTCAGGAGCAATTCTCCCCTCAAAACCTGTCATGAGAGTGCTCTGACAGCAAACCGAACCCATGGAATCCCCTCTACCCTCCTCTCCCTCGGGAGCAACCAAGCTACAGCCTCTTGAGCCCTCGCTGCCCTCCACGGCCGGCGTCAAGCGGCCAGCTCCCTCCCTCCTACCAGCCTTTGAGCCTCTTTCGTCATCGCCCGGCCTCCCCCGACCAGCAAAGCGCCAGGCCCTCTCCAATGCCTACACCAAGTACCCAACACCGGTACCAACCTCTAGCACAGGCATCCTCTCCTCCAGCCCGCCACGCGTCGGTCCCTCGCGACCAGCCATACAGCGGACCCTCTCAAGCGTGTCCGAACGCGCGCCCCTCTCCGCCCTGCCGTCCGTCGAGCTCGACCCCAACGGCGAGACGATACTTATGGGCCGGTCCAGCAACAGCAGCCACTTCCAGCTTTCCGCCAACAGACTGATCAGCCGCGTCCACGTCAAGGCGCGCTACGTGTCCGCCGCCACACCTCTGGAGGCGAACAAGGTCGAGATCGTATGTAACGGGTGGAACGGACTCAAGTTGCACTGCCAGGGCCGCACGTGGGACTTGGGCAAGGGCGACACGTTTACCTCGGAGACGGAAGGCGCCGAGCTCATGATCGATGTCCAGGACGCACGAGTGCTTGTCCAATGGCCGAAAGACAAGGGCGACCAGGCCGACAGGGGTAACCTGACTGATTCGTCGTGGGACGACTCGCCGCGCTCAGTCAGGGGCGAGGACCGCGCCGCGCTGCACGGGAGTCCGCTGCGGAGGACCGCTCGGATCGAGAGCCCCGAGTCACCTACCCCAGCCAACGTGTCGAGCGGTAGCCTGCGCGGTCTGCTGCCCGACACGAGCGACCAGGGATCCGCCGTGCAGATATACGAGGACGAGGCCGACGAGCCCGAACTCCCCAAGCTGACGGGTGTCGACGTCGGAGCGAGCATGGCCATGACCGAGGTCAACAGTTTCTCGAGCGACCTCAGCGACCCCCTGTCCGACGCCGAGAACGACCCGGACGAGGAGAACGATCCCATCGTGCACTCCTTCGGTCCCTTCGGCGCGAACCTCAACAGCCGTCTGGCATCCATCACCGCCGCCTCGCCCAAGCGACCGCGCGTCTTCCGCGGCGTGGCGGCAGAGGAGTCGCCCCTGTCCTCGGGCGCGAGCACCGCCGCTCTGCAACCATCAAAGCCCAACTCCCTACACACTAGCCCCAAGGCTCCCTCCCGGCAACAGCTCGCTGAAGCAGCCGCTGAGGCAGCGGAGGCAGCACTTGCCGCTTCTCTAGCAAACGTGGACATACCCACCGTGACCAACCACGTGATCAACCAGCTCGCCTTCTCTCGCCTCTCCTCCAACCCCCTGACAGGCATCCTGAACAACCTCCCCGCCGAAGAGCGGAAAGACCTGACCAAGGACGGGCTGCGGAGCATCATCGAGAAGACGCCGTGCGTGGGGATCATCCCCAGACAAGGCAAGGACGCGGCCGGCAAGCCGCTCGAGAGCGAGTACTACTACATCCCCGAGATGGACGCGGACGAGAACCGCCGGCTGGCCGTGACGGATGGCTTGCGGAAGCCGAGTCTGAGGAATTGTCGGAAGCAGCACAAGGTTAGTACCCTCTTTTCTCCCGAGGCCAACTGTCTTTGACCAAGTGCTAATGATGACGTAGCAATACTATTGGAAGCGGCCGAGGACGCCTTGAGATGTTGGAGAGCTGTCATCTTGAATATGTGTTGAAGCCGCGAGAAGAGAGAGTTCAGAAATTGTGTTGGGAGTTAGAGCACACCCCGTCTGTTCTTATTGTGCATATTTGAAGCCTGCTTGTCGGTCTTCTGTTGTCTGTGGTGGGTATATTGTTCACTGTTCATTTTCCATTGTTAGGACCTGCATAGCGGACGGCGTCATCTATGGCTTCTTCTCTTTGGAGGTCAACCAGATGTTTGTGGATTCGAGGCGGCATACCCCTATGTTTGGAGGTTGGGCATCCCCGCTTCGCGTCTTTCTGTCTACAAAAGAGGGAGGGTTTACAGTATTTTTGTCTCTCATACCAGGATACTGGTGGCATTGAGGGTGGGTGTCTTTAGTTAACTCAAGTCCGTTGTCATCAGCAAGTATTGTGCAACACTGTTGTTACTAGTGAGATATGTGACTTCGCCGTCCACAACTTGTCCGCTTCAGGAGAGGAAGCAAGATTCCAGAACTCCCGCCATGTTGACGTGTCTTCTGCGTTTATGTTCAAGGTCCCAAAGGAGGGAAAAGTGCAAAAAAGGAGTAGCTGCGCTCCGTTTCGATCGGAGGACCTCCGGGTTATGAGCCCGGCTATTGTTTGTTGTCAGTATGATGGATCCTTTTATGCGAGTTGACTTTTGAGAACTTACCGCGCTTCCACTGCGCCACGCAGCTGTGCAATTGTTGAAGATGCCGCACGTAATTTCACCTTGTGGACCACAGACTAAGGTAGCTTTGTGGGTTGGGACGAAGGGGGACTGTGCTTGCTGTGTACCCGACCAGAGTACTTGATCCGGGTCCACAAGTAGTGTGAGTCACTGACTCGAGAGATACTCTGCACCGAGGTGTTCGTCTATCGTGCCACTGGATTCATCCCTACAGGAGTACGAGCCCGAGACCAGCTGTGCATCATCTTCGAGCCCTCTCTTCTAACTCCATACATATGCCAGGGTACAACAGGTCTGTATACATGCACATACCCAACAGTTTTGACACATCAATATCCCTCTATATCTCTAACAGTCTTCATCTTCCTCTCCCAAAGTAACAGACACGCCAGCCAGACGACAGCGCTAAAGTACAGCATGACACGGAACTGCTCGTTGAAGGCTTCGTTGTAAGCAAGGCGGACGGCATCTCGTTGCGCTTCGGGGAGCTTGGCGATGTACGACAACGAGTCCGAGATCTCCTGCATCTGAGATGGGCTGAGGATCGCAGGGAGACGGGAGGAGAGAGCGTGGTTCAGGACGGTTGCGCTGGGCATCTCGTTAGCGGCTGCGATGTCGATGTCCCCGTGATGGCTTACCTGATAGCAAGACCGATTGTGCCTCCTAGGACGCGGATCTGGGTTATGGATGATATTCCGACGGCTTCTGAGTCAGCAGTGTCTGTCATTATCGGTTGTAGGATGTGGCGTACCCATATCGGCCCTCTCAACAACAAAAGGCACATAGACTATTAGCATGATCAAGGTCATGCCGAAGGAGAAACCCATTATCACCTCGAACCCGTACATCATCTTGTCGCCGTCGACACCGGCCGAGCTCGCGAGACCAAGACCCAGGAGCTGGAGCGATGCGCCCGCGAGGAGCATGTAGAACGGAGGAACGTTGCCTTTGCTGACTAGCTGACCGGCCAGGGCAGTAGCGAGGGGAGAGCTGAGCAGCAAGGGGAGTAGGTGTATGCCTGCCTCGAAGGGCGTGCTTCCGCTGACGGCTTGGAAGCGTTGAGGCAGGTTGATCAGGACGGTCATGAAGGGTGGACCGGTCAGCAGGCCGACTCTGTGGTGTTGACATCGTCAGTATGGCGTAGCAATGCTAGGTAGCTGGCGTGACGTACATTGTCATGCCAACAAACCTCCGGTCCTTCATCAACCGGAGTGGAAACACGGGCTCCTGGACAAATCTCTCGTGCGACACGACCTTCTCCCATATGACAAATCCAACGAGTAGCAAGCCGCCTATGATCAGTGTGCTGAGCACAGCAGCGCTGCTCCATGGGTATCTGGCACCCGCCTCCTCGAAGCCAAAGACGAGGAGGATCGAAGAGGCTAGCAGGAGGAAAGCTCCAATGAGGTCCAGCCGTGCAAGCGACTTGAGCGTGAACTTGTCATGCCATCGACTGCTAGCCGTGGCAGCGGTAGCTTTGTAGGGGAAGTGGTTGGGAAGCAGGAACGCGATCAGGCCTGTCGCTATGGCTCCTGTCGGTGCGCTGGATAGTCACTGTCAGCTTCGAGTCTTCGGAAACTTGGAGATGAGCCATACTTGAGTAGGAACACCCATCGCCAGGAGGAGTGGTCGTGACCGTTGATCACACCGCCGAGCACGGGCCCAAGCACGGAGCTAAGGACGAAGACGACGGATGTGATCGCAACGTAGGTGCCCCACTGGCTCGAGGGAACCATCTCCGGGTTCATGACAGTTACCATGGCGTATATGCCTGATGCACCCATGCCTTGGAAGGCGCGGAAGATGATTCTGTGGTTGGTCAGTTGCCGTTGCACATGACAGGTGGGCAGGTTCGGAGAGTCGCGTACAGCTGAAGCAGGGACGAGATGGATCCGCAAACGATGGAAAAGACGGTGAACAGGCCGACCGCCAGGAGTAACATGGGTTTCCGTCCCAGAACATCGCTGAACTTGGCGTAGATGACGAGAAAGCCGGTATAGGTGATCAGGTACGAGGTCACGACCCAGTCGCGCTCGTCGAAGCCACCTAGGGCGTCGGTGATGGAGATTAGCGACGTGCTGACGATGGTGGTCTCCAATGTCGAGAGGAAGAGCGAGAGACAGAGACTATGCTGGTCAGCCAGTATGTCCTTTCGATGCGTCCGCAAGGAAAAGGGGAGGGAGGGACAGACGCGAATGTGAGTACATAGAGCCGCCAGCCAGTCATGTATAGTCTCTCTGGACTGGACTCTGGGACAGATGCAGCAGCGGCATCGTCGACATCGAAAGGAACGACAGGTGGCTGGATCGGGGGTCCGTCTGCGCTGCCGTGGATGCTTGCGATTCCGCGTTGCACAGTTGTACCGGGACCCACTCCGGAACCCAGGTCGCCGGAAGACGGTTTGTGTTTGATGACGGCGCTCATGACAGACGGGTGTCAGCTGAAGACCGCGGTCATTGTTTTACCTGAGGAAATCTTTTTTTTCTTTCCGTTACGGCGGAATTGTGTTAGGGTTAAACTGATAGCTGGGGGCGGACAAGCTACTTCGTATTTGCTCCTCGCCAGGAACGCAAGGTGTCCTGAAGATTTGGAACTTGGAAGGATTTGAAACCATGTCGGATTTTCCATAGGTAGGTATGCACGCCACCACCAATCGACAACCACACGTTCGGACGCCGATGCCAATTAAACCGTAGAGTGAGCAAACTAACAGCCAAGTCAAATGTACTCCGTGTGATGCAGGCGATCGATGAAAGACAAGATAGAAAGCGAGAAAACTGAACAAAAGGCAGAAGAGACCTTTTCCAATTTCAAATACATAAAGTAGATCTAGAAGGGAATGTGTGCGATCACAAAAAATAGTCAACTCCTCTGTCAAAGATCAAAACGCCGGTGTATCGTTGGGCAGTTACCTTGACTCCATACACTTCACTCCCTCCCATTGATTTCTTCCGCCCTTCTCTTCCCCCTCCCCTCTTCCTCTTCCAGGCGCTGCATCTCGGCATAGCCTCTTTTCAGACTTCTTGACCCGTGCGAAACATCAGTCCCCTGCTCCGACCTCCGTTGAGCTGCCCGTTCCAAAGTCGCAAGAACACTGAGTCGTTCGGGGAAGCGCTCTTTAAAGATAGCCTGTAAAGCTTCAGGAACCAAGACGTATCCTTTCTCGCGAAAGGGGGGGTGCTCCGACAGGACGATCGAATCAAACGCCCTCCGCATCTGGTGCGGAAGTTGTCCCAGCAAGCATTTACATGGATCAGCACCATTATCGAGGAACAAGTTCGCCGTATCCGCAAACGAGATCTTGTCCTGGCGATCTTCATCCGGGGATCGAGTCGTGTTGGACCACGTCGAGATGTACATATGCGTGAGCAGATTCGCCCATAGCTCCTGGGTAACCAGGCCCGCGAGTTTACCAGGTGTTTTGCAGGGCCGTTCGGTTTCGAACAGCATTGGAAGGAATTCTCCCAGCAGTTCTTGGGTGTCCCACTCAAGGAGGAGATTGACGAGGTCGTCGAAGTCGCCATATCCATATCCACGTTCCAATTTGTTCCCTGGTAGACAATCTTGTATGCGGGCGCCATGCCTGCATAGACTGGTGCAGATCCGAAGCCAATACTGCCGAATTTCCGGATCCAGCTTACGACACCCGTCGAGTGACCCCCCTTCGCTCAGTAGTGATATTATCGGCTTCCCTTCGAATAGCCAGCTTCCGCTGGCTCCGATGTTCAGAAGTGCGGATACAATCTCTGCACTGGCTCTAGCCATGCCATTCACAAGTCCGTACTGTACCGCTCCGTCTCTCCAGGGATATAGGGAACATGCCAGCGCTGCCGAGCCTTCTGTCTCTGATATTTTAGTACGTGTTGACAATTGGTGTAGAACATAGGAACTGAGGCTATATTCGATGGCTCGCCCAAAAAGATTTATGGCTCTTCCGTCCTCAACCAACACTGTATCCTGATATGCCGGTAGCTTGGAGTATATTGTGGCGTTCATTTGTTCGATCAGGGGAACACCGTCGTTCCCCAGTGGACGTGCATTTATGAGAAATATGTTAACTTGCTCCATGTTCATCCGCTCTGGATAGGGATATTGGTCTGCTAGTGCTGAGGATCTGATCGCTGCCAGGTTGATTGATCCTGGGTAGCACGTCTCTTGGAGAATGAAGGCCTTGCAGACTTGTTTGAAGGGACTGAAGTCGGCCTCACAGTAGGATGTCAAGAGATCTTGCATATCTCTCGTCGCAAGGAAGTCGCGCACTGTGCGGTGGAGGAAGTTTACGTGCTTGTATCCAGGTTGGCCAATTGCTTCGAGAAGTCCCTTGTATCTCCCGTTCAGTGACCGACACATTCTGGGTTCTTCGATGGATGCTACTGCATGCCTGATGTCATCGTATCGGAGACCGTGCGGAAGAGGGCTCCTGCCCTGTTCTTCGTCAAGGAAGGAATACAGAAGTAACCGTAGAGGAAAGTCTGAGTTCAATGCGGCTTGGAAAGTATTCGCCATTCGCTGTCGATAGACCTTATCTACGGATCTGATAATTCGCTCGAAGAACGCTTCGAGGTCAGTCGGAAGCTCTCGGAGCCGTGCTTGTAAGAGGGTCAGAGGATCTCCGTTAACGATGCCATCCCTTAGTGACCGGACGACAAGAAAAACCCATAGAAATACCCCTTGAGCACGAGACACGATCTCTGATACCAACTCTTCAATCAGATATTGCGGGTCCTGGTTGCCAAAGTATTGTGCCTGGAGTTGGTGTAGCATATCTCTTGCATAAGTTGCAATGTCGTCCTTGGTGAGGTCCTCCAGGTACAGCTTGCTGCTTATATCAGCGCCGAAAGCGTCTTCAAAACAGTTCCACGGTCTGCTCGAGACACAAAGCTTGATATCCTTCACTTTGGCAATAGTCTGAATCGTGCGAATGAGCTCGAGGTGATCCCCGTAATATTCGTCCAGGCCGTCAATGAAAATGCAAATCTTTGTCGAGCTAGTTGGGCTGGCAACCAC